AAAGAAAATTGTGCCTTTGTTTTTCATTTTTACCTATTATCTCTTGAATTTTTCTTAACTTTACCTACTTTCTCCTTGCTGCACACTTCCTTAATTCCATAATTCTCATTATTTTTTTCATAATTCTCATTATTTTAACCAAACGTTACTGATTTCCTATTTCATTTTAGATTTAGAAGAGTTAATATGGACTACGTAATGCATTAAGAAATTTTTAAATCTTTTCTGTGACAGGAACATAGCCATAAATTTCTGCATAATAGGCTCTACAGTGAGAGAAGACTTACTACACTGCTTTGGTGAAAATCAGGATACTAGGTGAGCATGGGTTCTGGCCACATTAAAGGAGGAAGTGGCAGAAGAGAAGTAAGGACTAAAGGTGCACAACCCAGGAGAGCCCTGCATCACAAAAGGCAATTCCTGGCTTGTCTAATTCCCAATATTCTCCATATTTTTCTCTACTGGTGATGGTAATGATCTTTTACTAATTGTTTGGCACTTTATTCTGTGGAAGGTGCTTTATAGAAACACTGTATTATTTCCAATCCTCTTAGGAAACCTATGATATTCAAGCTCAGTAATTTTCCCACCACTAGAAAATAGTTTGAGTAACAGAATTAGAGTTTGAAACTTTGGTCTGCCCACTTTCCCCGGCAATTCATTACTGCTTATACCATCTGTCTGAACTGCCTTTCGACACATTCAGTTACTGCTAGAGTCTTTGCTCAGCTCCCAAGATACTCTGCCTCCCACGAAAAGCTTGTAACACAAGAACATGATATTTTTACTCAATCCTAAGTGCATACAAAAAATGATTCACAGTGGAGTAATAGTTCTACTTATTCCTAGATCATGCTGAATTTATTCTCCTTTGCCTGATTTAATAAACTGTTTTCCTATCTAAACCATCACCCATAATTATCTCCTTCAATGTGTATACACTGTATCCTGTGTTCTTGGGTTCCTAGGATTTTGGTAACTCTGCATTAGATTGCTACTTCCCAGCCTTCCTATTTTTTCAGTTTCGGATTATGAGATATTCATCATAGTACCTGATATAGTGCTTACAAATTTTTAGCTATTTTTAAAGATACTTTCATTGGCCTTGAATAGAAGGGAAAAGGACATTCAAGTAAGTTTCAGTGGTTCCATAGAATGACCAATTTTTTAACATCAAGAATAAATAAAGCATTTTGATTGGGATTATGTGACAAAAAATTACTCAGCTAAAAAATTAGTTATGCACAGTGCAATAAATAAGAAAAGGTAAATACGTGTGCACAGGCAAAATGTAAGATTGATTAGTTATGATCACATATCTTCATATTTTCTCTGACTAAGGTAGCCTCAATTGCTTTGTTTTCATCTGTTTACACAGAAAGTCATGTGGACAGAGTATATGTAATCCCTTCAGTACAGATGGAAGGGATTAGATAGTGAGATATATTACATTATTATTATATTATTAGGCTGTCCTATTTGTTCTATTTCTAGTTTTTCAGTGCTATCTATGCTCCATCTCCCCACTCCCCTTTTTTTGTCTTGTAGTGTATTTATTCAAAAATTATTTTTTTAAATGTCTACATGTACTAAGGGTTATATACCATAGTGAATGAAATACAACCTTAAGACTTTAACTTATTATATTTTTTATTTTGTTGGTACCTGGCCAATCATTTTTATTGGCCAGATGAATAACATAAAAACAAAACTTTAAGTCTCTCATCATCTGACTCATCTTTTATTATCTTTCAATTTTTTTTTTTGCCTTTTTTCATATTACCCAGAATTAGGGTTTTTCTTTTTTTAAGCCATTCACTTTTTGTGTATTTTACTTTAGGGGCTACATTATGTATAAACACTGAAAGTTTACCTTTCTCTCAGACACACAGTCTGGGTATCAGATCAGAAACTTATCACCCAGAACAATCACTTTGGAAAGAGAATTATCCCAATGGGAAATAATAGAAATTTGTAGAAATCACACCCTTGAAGGTTTATGTTTGAGAGATGATGAAGACAACAAAGGACAGTTGCAAACACAACATAAAAATCAGGAAGACTACTTTCAAGCAGGTGATAAGTCTCCTATGAAAAAAATGCCTACTTTAAACCAACACACAGCTTTTAATCAACACTAGAGACTCAATACAGGAAAAAAACCAAGTGCATTTGAAGAATATTAAAAAGCCTTTAGTTCTGGCTCAGACCCTAATCAACCTGAGTTAATTCACACTGGTGGCAAATGCTATGAAGATAAGGAATATCAAATGACCTTTCTTCCCAATTCAAAATTTACTCAATATGAAACAATCCACACTAGTAAGAAAAGATATGAATATAAAGAATGTGGCAAGGCTTTTAGATTTTACTCAAACCTAACTGGTCCTAAGAGAATTCATACTGGGGAGAAACCTTTTAAATGTAAGGAATATGGGAAAGCCTTTAGGTTTCATTCACAAGTTAGTGTCCATAAACAAATTCATACTGGTGAAAACTCATGAATGTAAAGAATGTGAGAAGGCCTTTAGGTTTCATTTACAAGTTAGTGTCCATAAGAAAATTCAGACTGGTGATAAATCTTACAAATGCAAGGAATGTGGGAAGACCTTTTGTTTTGAGTCAGGCCTTAGTCAACATTGGAGAATTCATACTGGTGAAAAGCCTGATGATTCTAATGAATGTAGAAAGTCCTTTACTCAGTATTCACATCTAATTAAATGTCAGGATTCACATAGGTGAAAAACCTTATGAATGTAAGGAGTGTGGGAAAGCTTTTAATCTTCTCTTGCACCTGACCAAACATCAGAAAATTCATAGTGGTGAGAAATAACATGAATGCAAGGAATGTGGTAAAGCCTTTATTCGTAGTGCAAATCTTACCAGACATCAGAACGTTCATGTTGGTAGGAAACCCCATGAATGTAAGAAATGTGGTAAAGTGTACATCTCGATCTTACACCTTGCTCAACATCAACAAATTCATGCTCAATAGAAACATTATAAATGTAAGAAGTGTGGGAAGACTTTTATTTGGGCCTCATATCTTGCTTGACATGAGACAACTCATGAGAAACTATGAATGTAAAGAATGTGGAAAGACCTTTTTCATGGTTCAGAACTTAATCAACATCAGAAAATCTATGCTTGAAAGAGAGCATATAAATGTAAAGAATGTGGAAAATCCTTTCTCCAGTGTTCACAACTTACTAGACATCAGAGAATGTATACTGGCCAATAAACTTTACATATGTAAATAATGCGGGAAATTCTTATGTGACATAGAAAACACACTGATCAGAACCTTATGAATGTAAGAAGAATGGCTACATCTTTAGTCACCATACATATTTCACTGAACAGAAAATTCACAATGGTGACAATCTGTGAAGGAACAGACTTGGAACATCTGAAGTCATGGCTCAAAATCTGCTCAACACCAGACTATTTATTTTTTAATTTTTTGGTTCTTTTCTGGTACCAGAAATCTAACTCATGACCTTGCACCTACCAGGCAGGCACTGTGCCGCTGAGCTAAATCCCCAGCCCTAACACCAGACTATTTATACTGTTGAGAAATGCTATAACTATATAAAAGATGTCCAGATGAGATTTTTCTTGGAGCTATCACTTTAATTCACTACAGTGAAATTTATGATATAAAAACATTGCAAAGGCCTTACTTATGATTCATTAATTGAAATCACTTGATTCTTTTGAGAAACTTAATATTTGAAGGTCTTTTGACAATACATTCATCATCATACAACTCATAGTGCAACTTATATTAATTTAGGAGGGAATTTACTGATTGGTCATCAGGTATAGATTATCAGAATAAAACTGTAAATGAGATGATAGCATGAATTCTTTTTGAATTATTTTCATCACATTCTCATCAGAGACCTGTTTTACATGAAGAATTTATATTTAATTCATAATATTTAATTCATAAACTTTCCATTACTGTCAAAATCTTGCTGCATTTCCAAAGTCTCACACAAGAGGCTAATGCTGTGTTACATATTTAAATTGGAAAAGCGTTGAAGTCTCATTCAATTTGTTTGCATGTCTGTGTTTCTCAAGATCCTACCTCTATACTGATTAGAAAGTAACTTATCTGTTCGCATATTCATTAGGTTATAAAAGTTAAGTGAGTTTAAGACTTAAATATTTTATGTCATTTGTGTTGGTATGAAGTCATTTCTATGAGTGGAAGACCTTAAGAATGTAATGATGTGCTAGGTGTGGTAGCACATGCCTGTAATCCCAAGACATTGAGACGCTGAGGCAAAAGAATTGCAAGTTCAAACCTGGCCTGAGCAACTTAGTTGCAAGATTGCTTCTCAAAATAAAAGGTAAAAAAGAGCTGGAAATGTAACTCAGTGTGAAGGCCCTGGGTTCCATCTTCAGTACTACCCTCCAAATATATACTGCATATAGTAAGTCCCTGGTTTAAAAACATTCTAGTTGCGAACTTTCAGGGGCATACTGTGTAAGATTCATGGGAACACTGTATAAGACTCACTTTGTTGAATTACTAATGAATTTGACTTACAAACATACTCCCAGAATGGAACTCACTCATAAATCAGGGACTTACCCAACCCCTACAGGAAAGGCCTCCATTATGCATTCATGTCCACTTGCTACTTGACTCGCTTCCCCATTTGATCCTGATTTAATCAATTTTGCCTGAACAATTATACTTGTAATCTTATTGGCTGACCATAGTTTTGTCACTCATGTCTACCATGTAAGCTCCCGTGTTTCCTACCTTGGACCTGTCTCACCTTGTGGTTTTGCTTTATAAAAATCCCTAGAAAAGGCAGGTTCCTTGGCAGTGCACTCAGGTTCCCTTCTGTCCCTCTCTCGGACAGAGCTTTCTTTTCCTCAATAAATATATTCTGCTCTTAAAAACAATCAATCAATCAGGGACTTATTGTATATATGTGTATTGTTAATTAATGGTGCATGAAGAAACACCTAGAGACCATGACTGTGTGAAAGACTAGATTTAATTCTGTTTATATAAAGGCAGGCTGAAATCAGAGTGATATCAGTGAATATCTGCAGGGGAGGCTACATATGTATAGGGTTTGGGATTGTAGTCTCAAGGAATCAGGATGGAATATTTGAGGTCAAAGTAGCAAGGATGGGCTGCGGTTGTGGCCCAGTGGTAGAGTTCTTTCTTTGGATGCACAAGGCTCTGGGTTCAATCCCCAGCACCACCAGAAAAAAAAAAAGCTTTAAGGATGATCAGCACAGGCACATGGAGGTCTTCTGGAGTCAGGGACACTAAAGGTCCAGTCCTTAATTTCTTTATGGCCAATAATTATTGTTTTCTGAGGGCAGCCTGGATTCCTGTTGTTTGTAGAGGGCAGCACGTTTTATTGGGAAGGTCTTTCTCAGGTCAGGCCTGACATATATATAGTATCTCTGCTTCACTGCAACAGAATGTTGTTTGAAGAAAGATAAATATGAAAAATATAGTGAAGATTAGAAACCCTTGATAAATATTAATTCCATATGCTACATCAAAAGATTCAAACTACAAAATAAGTCTTGGTGAATGTGGAGTTCTTGAATATTTGGAATACCTTTGCTATTCTAGGTCTGTTCTGGTTCCAGATGAACTCTTCTCCACTCTTGGTGGCAATGTAGACTGGTGCAACAGCTTTGGAAATCAGTCTGGAGAGTCCTCAAAAAATTAGGATTAGAGGTCCCATTTAAACCAGCCATTCCTCTTCTGGTATTTTCCCAGAAGAATTAAAAACATCATACCACAGCAATATATGTGCACCCATGTTCATAGCAGACAATTTGTTGTAGCAAAATTTTGAGAACAATCCAAATGCCCATCAACTGAGGAGTGGAAAAGAAAAATGTGATATTTTTATAAAATGGTATATTACTTAGCTATAAAGAAAGATAAACTCGAGGCTTTTATAGGTGAATGAATGCAACTAGAGACCATACTCATAAGCATAAACCAAACCCACATGTGTACACACTGTATTGTCTCCCTAGTATAAGAACCTGAAAGAGTAAATAAAACTGAAAGGTACAATAGATATTGTGAAAGGGAAAGAAACTGCTTAATAGGAAAAACAACTGGGATGATGATAAGAAGAAAGGAGAAAGGGATATGTGTGTGTGTGTGTGTGTGTATGTGTGTGTGTATATATATATACGATAGCTAAAATAATGATACTACTAATTTCTATTGGTTTATTGAAAGGAATAGTTAATATTGAATTGTTTGATCAATCTTGCATACCTATACCCAATACTCTGAGCAACTACTTTGAAGATAACAATAAATAATACAACCATTGTTGATTTCCTATCATCTTGTTTTGAAATTCTGTATTATTTTTATAGTTTTTGTCTTTGTTTTTGTTATTTTGTTTTTGCTCTTTTCTCTTTAAAATTAAAATTAAAAAAGATATTTGGAATAATTTGTTTCAAATTTCCAAAGCCAAATGTCATATAATCAACTTTTTACCACAAAATTCAGAAATCCGTAAATGAATAGCTAAGTGAATTTTAACATCTTAGAAATTTATTACTACCTATATTAGCAATTCTTGGTTTAAAGAATAAATAAAAAGTGAAATTACAGACAGTGTATGATAGTGAAATGAGAACCATGTATTTCACATCCTGTAAATGTTACCAAAACAATTCTCAATAGCACCAGGCATGGTGGCGCCTGCCTGTAATCCCAGCACTTGGGAGGCTGAGACAGAAGGATTGCTGTGAATTTGAGGCCAGCCTGTGCTACAAAGTGAGTTTGAGGCTAGCCTGAACTGCATAGTGAAACCCTGTCTCACAAAGACAAAAAAAAAAAGTTCTCAATAAAAACTGCCCTATGTATAAAACTCAGAAGGTTGAAGGTAGATTGCTTCTTTTCACCCCTGTAACACCAGCACTCAGGACAATGTATAATACTGTAGGATCTTAAAGTATTTTTTGAATTAAATAATGATTATTCAACAAATTTGGTAAGAATAAATACCCTGGGGTTAGGGATGTCACCAAGTGATAAAGTACATGGTTAGAATGTACAAGGACCTGGGTTCAAGCCCTAGTATAAAACAAACAAATCACTAGGGCTCAGTAGTAGATACTTGCGTAGCATGCCCAGGCCCTAGGTTCATTCCCTGGTACCTCAAAAAACTAAAATAAATGCCCCAAATGAATAGATGGAAATGCCTAATGAAAATAAGCATAACTCATGGAATACAAAACAGTGTATAAGGTTTTATATAAAGTGTTTCTTTGCAGAAATGATCAGTTTTAGTAATGGTCCTGTCTTATGATAAGAAAGGAGAAAAGGAGATTTATATATTCAGAGAGTATTTTAAAAATACTGTTGCGTCTAAGTCACTATTTTGTCCCATGGGCACAACGCTCAACAAAGACAATGTAAAGGAGAAGAGGTTTATTTTGGATCACAAAGCATGTGAAACAAGATAATTCTACACCCTGAAGGAACAGAATATCTGATAGAAATTTCTTTGCTTATGCTAATGGAATTCTTAAAACTAGTTAAGGTTAACTGTTGGGAGTGGCTGGAACTAGAAATTGGTCATATGTATGAGGGCAAGACAGAGCCAGAGTACTTCAAGCAGTCAAGCTACCTCTTGAGAAAAACATCCTGCCTAGACAGTTACAGTCATTAGTTGCTACGCAACATGACCTCTGTGATACTAACTTTGCAAGGGTATAAATAAATGCTCCTGCTATTGTAGTTCAGTCCTCTTGCCCATCAGGTAAGAGATCACTCCACCTGACCCTAGCATTGTCTCTATTTTCTAAATCCTCTTGTTTTCTACTGGGGACCACTGAGAGACCACTGGGTCCCACAGTTAACTCTTAAACAATGAATTACAGAAAAATTTCACTCAAGAATGTACATGATAAAAATATACAATACATGAGCCCAATATTTAATGAAGGAATAATAAGATACCAGATATTTACCTAGAATATTTAAGCCTTTATCTGAGTTCAATACTTTCTCAGTTTCTTCTGTCTGCAATCTTGGTACTAATGTTGGTCAGCTTTTCATCTCTGTGACCAAATACAGTACCTGAGAAAAACCATACAAAGAAAAGAACTGTTTCAGTTTCAGAGGATTTATTCCATGGTTAGCTAGTTCTAATGCTGTGAGCTTGAGGGGAGGCAGAACTTCATGGCAAAAAGTTATGGTGTAAGAAACTTGCCCACCACATAGCAGTTGGGAAGCAGAGAGAGGGGACAGATCTACTGAAAGAGGTTTGGAACTGCATACATTCCCCAAAGATCCAGTCCCTTCAACTAGGTTCTACTTCTTGTTTGCATCACCTCCACAAAATGCCAAATCAAATTATGATTCTGTCAGTGGAGGGAATTTGTAATTTGAATTACAGATCAGAGATAAAAATATGCAGAGCAGCTATAGTTCCCTTTTTGCAAATCATGACTAACTCACATTTAATACCTCCCTCAGAAAGCCTATGATCATATTCCCTTTTCTAATAAACTTCAGATTGTATTTCCTCTTTCTCCTTTTTTTTTCCTTTGGTTCTATTCTATTATGAAAACTTAATCACAAAAAAAGCTAAAAATCTATTACAGTGAACACCATGTGCCCACTGTCTAGACTCTACCACTAACATTTTACTGTACTTTCAGCTGACATCCTACCAGTAGGGTTGGTAAAAAACCCTTAATTCTATGAGAACATGAGCTATTCACCCTTCCACTTTGGAGTTGCTATAGGAAGCCATTAATGTTTACTGGCAGACATGGCAATACTAAAATTATCCCATAGAATTATTCTATATTGTAAATATATGTCTTTATGATAATCAGGTGACATTCTGTAGATGTCAGACTTTGATATCTTTGTCTCTTTGTCAGCAACATTAAGTGCTCCCAATGGCAACATGGCAGATTCAGTTGCAAGGTCACTGGAGTCATCTGAATCCCTACTGGGATTTTTTTGTTTTTTGGGTACTGGGAATCGAACTCAGGACCTTGCACGTGCCAGGCAGGCACTTGTGCCACTGAGCTATATCTCTGACCCCCTACTGGAAGTTTTCTTCCCTTTCAGCTAAGACTTCAAAAATAGCAGAGCCTAACGTTATGGGGATGAAAAACAAAAATGTTACTGAATTTATGGAACATTGAGAGGACCTATTCCATCCTTTATCTCCCAGACAAACCTTTAAAGGTTACTGGAGAAACAGCAATATACTATAAGACAGTGGTGGTGAAACTATGGCATGAGTGTTACTGCATTTTTAAGACAAAATATGTTAATATAGAGTTGTTTTTTCTAAACTAATACCTCAGTATTCTGGGTTAATTGCAGTATTGTTGCTTTGCAATAAATAAGTGGATTTTGGTTGCAGTTTGGCAGTAGGTCTCTAAAAGGTTTGTTATCACCACTATAGAGGGACCAACAGCAGGGAGATGAGTGGGTGCCACCATCCAGATTCCAGCCCAGGTACCAAAGGCCTTTTCACCCCAGGATACCCCAACAGCCTACCACAGAAGGTGGTGATGGTGAGACCAAGACCAGCCCAGATCACTAATAGTTCCCAGCCTGAGTCCCAGTGCCCTTGAAACTTGTTCCTACTTCTAGCAGTGACAGTAGCAGCCCAGTGGTTTCCTGGTAGCCCACAGCCCCCAAGAATTCAGCCCCCATCAACAGTGGGGAATGCACCACCACCATATTGGAGTGATTCCAGCTTAGAGGACACTCAGCTACCATCTGGTATCTCAGTTTTTCCAGCTGATGTACCAAGTACCCTTCTTCCTCCTCTCCATAATTCATGATATCAAATACTGGCTTTTCCCCTTTTCTCAGAGGGCCAAAACTTTTTACTTTTGTTATTTTTCCTCTCCTCTATACAGGGTTAAAGGAAAGGATCTATTCTTATTGTTTAGAGGTGCAAACTTCCTCCCCTAAGTTAGGGTGAGAAGGAAACTGGCCAGTTCTCACCTTCTGGTTATTTTTCCCACTCCAGGTTATTTTGTGTTTCCTCTTGACCCTCTACTTCTGACACCAGTTTGTGAACTGTCAGGTGCCATATGAACCTCCAGTAAAAACAAAAACAGGCTGAAAAAAAAAAAGAAATAAAAAGAAAAGAAAGACAGAAAGCAAGGAAGGAAAGAAGGAAGGAAGGAAGGAAGGAAGGAAGGAAGGAAGGAAGGAAGGGAAAGAAAAAAGAAAACAAAAGAAAAGAAAAGAAAAAAGAAAAGAAAAGAAAAGAAAAGAAAAATAAAGGAGGCTTTATCCAAGTGTTGGATGAGACACAGACATCACTAATCTGTTTTTCAGATTTTCCTTACAGACCCTACTTTTCTGAAATTTTCCCCTTTGTTTTCTTAGCCTATGTATGCATTTAGTGCTTCATAAATCTAGAGTCTTTCAAAACCTTTATTGTTTAACACGGAGGTTTGTTTTTGCTACATTTCATTTTCTATCTTGTCATTGTTACAAGATTTAGGGCTATGTTTTACATCTGCATTTCCAATTGTCATATAAACATGATTTTTACAGGGGATATCTTTCTGTTTTCTTTATTTTATGAAAAAAATAAAATCCATAGTAAAATAATAAGAGAATAACAGTGATTAATACAC